GTACCTCGACATCTTACAAGACGTAGTCCGTTCCATCAACCACACTTGACCATAGGTCGATCAATGGACGCACGCCGGCTTCGGTCAACAAAGAGAATGAAGAAGAAGTGAGACTCGATGCTTACCTAGCTCGACGCCGAAAAGACACTGCAACACCGATGGTTAAGAAATCCTTTTCGTCAAAGAAGCGCAAAGCCTATACGTTTAAAGTGGGTGATCAAGTTCGAATTACGCATCTGAGACGAGCGTTTCAGCGCGATTACGATCAGACGTACACAGAAGAAATTTTCGTCGTCAGAGAGCGTTTTATCTCACAGGGTCTTCCCATCTACAAGTTAAAAGACATGATGGACGATCCGATTCAGGGTACGTTTTATGCCAGTGAGCTCCAGAAAGTGTCTAAAGACGAACAGAGCATCTGGAGGATCGAGAAGGTCCTACGGAAACGCAAAGTTCGCGGCCAAGAAGAGGTTCTGGTGCGATGGTTGGGATGGCCCAAGAAATTTGACAGCTGGATTCCAAGATCCGATATAAAAGAGACGTAACGCGTTCAAATACCTTCATTCATCGGAAAGATGTCGATGCGTATGGTCCTCAAGTCTACGGACAGTCCCTCCGTCTACGGTGATAATCAACCTTGCGACTTCAAAGTACGTCTACCCCGTCCCTTACCCTTAACGGGGGACTGGACGGTAGAACTGACGGGATTTCGCAACCTAAACCGACCTCAGACCAAGAAATCTTTGTCTACTGTTCTGTCTGCGACGAAAGCATCGTGGGTGAACGTCAAAAACCCCTCCTGAAACGTATCGTTCTGGAAAACGACAAGAACGTCATCGCGTGCCGTTACGCACCAATGATTTGAGGGACATACACGTGTATATAAGGGACAAAAACGACGTCGACGTTTCATTCTTAGCCGGAGAATCGACGGTGACGCTCGTCTTTCGACGTCTCTGATCAATCATGTCTGGACCCACGTACATTTCAAACCCCGCTCTGTGGGAACAATTTCATCACACGGAGGGGGGTGAAAACTTCATTCCGTCCATACGACGAAACGCTCAGAGAGGAGGAGGTATCTTAAACCGACGAAAAGCTTACATGATTCCCTTGAAATTTCGCAATCCCGTCCCCAAACACACCATCCATCAGGTGACTCCCGTGGCTGCCGAGCAGGAGAGAGCCTTATCCGATTTGAAAGAAACCATCTGTAACGACGAGCCTCACATGCCTCTCAAGAAAACAATAAAAAGAAAGAAAACGAAGAAATCGATCAGTCGCACATCGACTTCCAAAGGGAGAGGACGTGTTCAGAAACCAAAGAAAAAAGGTCGTAAACCAGCCAAACCCACAAAGAGAAAGAAGTCAACAAAACCGACGAAAAAAACGACCGCCCAGAAAAAATCCCGTCTTCCTAAAAAAACCATCTTTTAATCATGGCATTCTTGAGTGAGATCAACACGTCGGTGGCAGAACCCCCCGAACTGTCTCTCTTTAGCGATCCTCCGAACCAGGTGGCGGTACAAAAAATCTATTTCTCCGAAATACGACCCATTTCGTCCTTTGACGGCGAAACCGCTCCCCTCGAATTCGCCGTTCCGGGAGGGGGAAACGAATACCTCAAATTGAGGAGGAGGAGTCTGTACTTGAAAGCCAAAATCACCAAAGCTGACGGTACGGCCCTAACGTCCTCTGAAAAAACGGGTATCGTCAACTTACCACTACAGTCCCTATTCTCTCAGATCGACGTCTACATGAATGGGAAATGCATCTCGCAGAACGCCAATAATTATCCTTGGAAAGCTTACCTCAAAGTCCTCTTGTCTAATGGGCCCGCTGCCACCAGCTCTCAGTTGCAGACCCAGCTGTACTACCCAGACAAGGAAGCCCTTGACGATCCAGATGCCGCCGGGGGACGAACCAGGGTCTTCGATCGCGCTACGTCTTTACGCAGCTGTCTAAAACTTTCGATCTGGAGGGTCCCCTGTACGTCGACTGTTTCTACCTCGACAAAGACCTGATCAACGGCGTCGACCTGCAACTGAGACTCTTTCGTTCCAGAAACGAATTTGTATTGATGAGTAAGGAAGCCTCTCCGAATTACAAAGTGACCATCCTCGATGCCGTCTTTAAGGCATGTAAAATCCGATTAGACAGCGCCGTCTTGCTGAACCACGCCACTGCCATCACCAAATCACCGGCCCGGTACAACTACCTGAAAACCGACGTCAAGATGATGACCATCTCGGACAAGATCAGTGAAGTTTACTGGGACAACGTGTGGAACGGAAGAAGACCTTCCAAGATGTACGTCGCCTTTGTGAAACAATCGGCCGTCAATGGGAGTTACGAGGGCAATCCGTTCAACTTCCAACACCTTAGTCTGTCCGAAATCGTCGTGACCGTCAACGGAGAACCCACTCCCGTCCCCCCCCCCTGAAAATGGACTTTGAAACAAATCGAAATTACGTCTCCGCTCTCTGTAACCTGTATCAAGCGTCCGAAAAATGGTACAAGGATGACGGCCTGATCATCGACCGTGACCAGTTTTCCAAAGGCTACGCTATTTACGCCTTTGACCTCGACCCCAACGACCTGGGTGAGGGGTATATAAACCTGGTTCATCAGGGAAACGTCGGAGTATACGCTCGATTCGCTACACCCACTACGGAGACCGTCAGTGCTCCTTCTTTTTGTGAATACCTGGGTCTCCTCCTCGTCGATCAAGCCAGAAAGATACGACTACTGTAGAAAAAAAAATGGACACGATTCAGTTACTTGGTCTTGTTCAAACATTTCCGAGGTTAAAACCTCACTTTCGTGGAGTGTTTGCGTCTGATACACTTCCCTCACGAGTCCGCCAGTTTCCTTCTGCTTTCGTGTGTAACACGGACCCCATCGATAAGAAAGGGCGCATTGGGTCGCTTACTGGTTTGATAACGTCAACGAATGCGAATTTTATGACAGTTTCGGAAGATTGCCGGAAGAGTACGACAGCCGCCTGAGAGACTTTATTGATCGCAATGCCCTTCTCTGTCTTCACAACAACGTGCAAGTACAGTCGGACTCTGCCACCAGCTGCGGACTTCACGTCTTGTTTTACCTCTATTGCCGCGCCAAAGGAATCGCAATGTCCAGTGTCATTCGTGCAACTTCGGAGACAGTCGTTCGGGACGTCGTTTTAAAGGGGAAACGCATTGTTTGACATTTATGTTCATGACTGTACATTTTTTTTTTGTATTTTTGTACATATCGCATTACCATGACATGTATGATTGTTCATTTTTAAAGATATGTATGCATTGGGGAAAAAACTGGAATTCCGGAAACCTGGGATTCCGGAAATCTAAGGATTCCGGAAACTGGGTTTTCGCGCGCGACGGCGGCGGCCCGGAATCCCCTTTTTTCATATAGAATTTATCATTCTCTGTATGTCCATGATGATTGTTTTTCATTTGTCATCTTTTGTATCTATATTTATGTGTAACCAATAAAAAACGTAGACCCTATTTTTTGGGTTTTTTTTCTTATTTTTAATTCGAGGATTGATCTGGTAGGAGATTTGTGTTTAATAGACCGTCGAAGAGTCGATCACGATGAAATTTAAAACTCCCACTTCTTTTGCCGTCATCGGTGGTACCATGTCTGGAAAGACACATCTGGTATGGAACATGCTAAAACACGGTTCCGAGCTATTCGACGTGACCCCCAGCAAGATCGTTTACTGTTACCTGGAAGACCAACCCATCGTAAACGACATGCTGTCGACCCTTCCTCACTTCTCCACCTATCGAGGTCTTCCCAATCGTGAGGAAATTCAAGAGTGGTGTGTGGATTCACCCCACACCGTCATCGTTCTAGACGATATGATACATTTGGTGACGAAAAGTCCCGACGCCTTACACCTCTTTCAGACCATGGTGTCTCATTCCAACATGACGGCCTTTCTCTTGTCTCAGAATCTGTACCCTCCCGGCGTGTACGCCAAGAGCATTCTGTTAAATTGTCAACACGTCGTCCTGTTAAGAACGTGAGAGACAATCGTCAGATCATCACTTTCGGGAGTCAGGTATTCACCGGTCGTTCCAAATTTTGGATGGACGCGTATGCCAAAGCCGTGCGTCGCCCCTACGGTTACATTCTGGTCGATTTGACTAATCATTGCCCCGAAGACAGACGTCTGCGCACCAACATCTTGCCGACAGAAGGGGACACCGTCGTTTACCTTCCTAAATAAATAAGACCAACGACGGTCAGAGTCGTCATTTTCCTCCGTCATGTCACCGAGAACCAGTCGTCACGAAGCCTTCCTTAAATTCTTATACAAAGCAGACCCCGTTCAGAGGAAGCAGCTCGTAAACATGGCTACCGATGAACAGATAAATGCCTTCAGGGAAATTGCTCTGAACCTGTGCGCGGGGCACCCCCCAATTTCCGGTTACTACAAGACAAAACTAAAGGTTCACAAGACTCTCCTTCAGTCTCTCAGTGACCGTGCAGTGGACAACATCCGCACTCGCAAATTACTACGGAAACAGTCCCAGGCCATACCCTTGATTCTTAAACCCTATTTCAGTGATGGCAGAGGAATACCTCCTCGTGAAGAAGACGACGTTCGACCGGATGAAACAGAATGAACGGAAAGAGACGCAAGACCGGGGTTTTAACACCATAGAAGAGATCGTTCCCCCTAATACCATAGAAGAGACCGTGCCCCCGCCCCCCGCAGGAAACCTTGAGACTCAAGACGGATCCGGTTTAATGTATTCGGAGACGGGAAAGAGAAAGAGGAATTCCCCTCCGGGCTCACGCCCTCCGAAAAAAAGAAGGACGACGTGGATCAAGTTTTAAATATTCTTTTTATTGAATGACAATGCATCGATGTATACTTGACAAGTGTTACATTTTCTTTGACATTTAAAGCAAATCATTATGTACAAAATAAAATCAATGTCAATAAAATGATATCAAATGAATCAAAGAATGGTCTGTTTTTATCAATATCCGTATGGCAGTGTGGTCAGGTCCGGCTGGACGACCCGTTTGGTATATACGGCAGAATATTCCTTCAGTTCTTCCTGCGAATACAGTTCACTGTGAATTTTTTCTCGACAGATCTGGCTGGGGTTGTGGGTGTGGTAAACGCCGAGGTGAGTGTCGTCTCTATTAAACATGGCATCCTTCATTCTTTCTAAATTAAGGATCTGCGAATTGGCATAATTTAAAGAAAATCCTTTGACTTTACATACGCGTTTACCTCTGTGGGTTTGATAAGCATAGTTTTTGGGGCCATTACACACGAATTCCGTGATCCAGTCTCCCTCCTCAAGTTCGTTAGTGAGTTCGCCTAAATAGTCCCCGACGGGGGGTTCCCATTTCCCTTCGTTCGTCATGTAAATCACGGAATCGGTGTCCCAGTGGAGCACGCGGGATTGTAATTGATCCAGTAGCTCGTAGAGTTTTAATCGTGCCCAGCAGGTGGTGAAGGACGCTAAGAAGACGTTAGTGTGACCCGGTGCACACATTTCCTCCGAGGTGCGTTTAGTGGAAAGCATCAGATTCTCGTCGTCCACGATATTAAAGTCGACGATGTGGACGGTGGGGTTAGTCATCTGACCGAAGAGTACATGAGCCTGGCTGTCATGAATAAATTGAGTCTTGGTCAGATTCATGTGTTGACCGAATTTCCCCCAGAAACTGTTCAGCAACAGTTTTGCTAAACTCCTTAGACCCGCATTGACTTCGATTTTGTTCGGGTCTAGGCGAATGCCTTCCCTTTCTTCGTACATTTCAATGTAACGCTCGAGATCGGCCTCGGTCTTGACCCATGCCGGTCGCCCACTGGCCTCTTGTTTTATTTTAAGAAACATATTAATGTATGACGCAAAAAGGCCTCCCGTCTTCGTGCTTGAGTCATATTGCGTCGTTTCATTCCAATGATATATCTCGTAGATGTTTAAGATTTTGTATCCTTTCTCAATGGCTTTCAAGAGTTCTGGTGTACAATACGTCCCCGTCAGAGCCCTCTGTGTATCGTTACAGACACAGGGTGTCTGTTGTTGACGTTCGACGCACGTTCGGCAGAGGGGAAAGGTTAATTTACCTCCTGTGCGATAACCTAAGACCGGAAGAAAGTGATCACGTGGTGGAAGTACTTTGACTTTGGCCAATCCGAAATACGTCGTCAGGTCGGCGAAATCGCGAGTGACGATGTCTGGGTGTCCGACGGGGTAACGACACGTCTTGTTGACAAAGGGATACAGCGACGTAAAGTCGACGTATTTGATATTTGTGTTCCTCGTCGCTCGCTTGTAGAGCACGCATCCGTTGGTACGTCCACCCATCAGACTGTCCCGAGGGTAGAGACGATCCACCACTTCCAAACTATCGACAGACGACTTGGCATCGTCATCCGCGACTAACAGGGCGTCAAACTCGTGTTCCCAGATGGTAACGACTTTGAACCCCTCTTCTCGGAGTCGATGCTCCTTGTGTTCTGTCAGAGTAAAAAAATCGGAAGCTGTTTGGTCGGAGTTTGGAATCAGCACGGCGTCTCGGTCCTTGTAACAGACGGGACAGGCGTGGTACAGACAACCGTGAAACTCGTAAGCCACGCCACGAGGGTGTTCTGCATTGGGCGGAACGTATCCGTCTACGGAATAGCGGGTACCGGGTACTCGGTATTCCCCACGCCCCGTCAGGGCATGTTGAATGTCTAACACGCGTCCCGAGGCTTGAGCTCGATGTCTCAGTAACTCCAGCCAACAGATGGACTTGCGACTATAATTAATGCGGGACGGATATCCCTTCGGTGGGGGCCATGCAATCGGAGACTTGACGAACTCTTCTTTCGTGATCACGACATTGCGTTGCTTAAGATCGTCCCACGGTATCCACCGACCCTCGTATTTCACAGTTACCTCCCCGTCCAGCTTTTTAACATCAAGCCATCGCTCTTGATCGTCCTCTCTGACCAGGACCTTCCAGTCTTCGGATAAAAACTTCGTCTTAAATACGTCCATGCAGAGAGAGGAAATGGTACTGGAATTGAACGCGTCAACGGTATGACCTCCGTCTCTGCCGGTGGCTTCCAGCAGGAGGTTTTTGAACTTGAGACATGCACGTCGGAGAATGTCGACGTCGCTCCGACAGTATTTGAGAATTTCTTTTTGAAAATCAAAACTTCTCCACTGGCGACTTTAGACTCGTACCATTTGAAGAACTCTTTTCTACCCTCGACGGACATGGCATTGGGACCGTACGTCTCGGCAGGTGGGTAAGGTCCCACGTAATTCCGGTTGGCCCGACATGTAAAAAAATGAGGGAAGTATCCCTTGGCCAAAGATTCTAGCTGAAAGGCTTTGGGAAGTCTGGCTAAGGCCATGGGTAGGAAGTTAAACGAATCGATGACTCTGATTTGAAGACCGCTGAGGTTAAACATTTGAATTTTACTTCCCCTGTAGATGATGAAGGAGGGGCGGATGGACTGTGACAATTAGTACTGTAAGAGGAACTGACCGTCGTACGAGAGATTATGGAACAGGACAGTAAATCCTTTGTGATGTTCGCGAAAGATCCAACTTCCGAGATCGTGTAAATTCCGGAAGACCTGTTCCCGACGTCCACATCGACCGGGACAGGAGGGTGAGACGTACTGTTTGGTCTTCTTGTCCTTCTTGCCACAGGTCGAACATCGATCTCCGCAAATGTCGCAAGCGCTATCGGGTGTGAGATCGTCGTTCTCGCATTTTTCACAGGCGGTCTGACACACCGCCAAGACCACGGTGTGTTTAAATTTGCCACAGTGCGATTTATGAAAGTGCTGACAGACCCGACAAGAGGGACACAGGTTTCGTTCTGATCGACATTCGGAACAGTGTACGCGACGTAAAGGTGCGTATCCCCATTCACACTCGACGACCTCGTCTTTTTGCGAGGCCTCGATGTCGGCAAAAATGAATCGACGACTGGTCTGGGTTTCTTTGGAGTTGTGACTCCTAGCGTAACACAGATGTTCGGGATCTACGTATTGCCTGCAAGACTTGCACGTGTAATACCCACAGCGATGATCTTCGGGTTTTAACTCGTGACGTAAGAAGGTCTTATCACAGGTTGGACATTTGTATCGGAGGTCACAAGGTATGACGCCCCCTTCGAGCAGATTCTTATGTCGAACGAAACAGGACCCAGAGCGACAGGTCTGGTGACAGTCTGGACAAGTTCTCCTCTGTTGCACGCGACAACTGTCAGAAAAACAGACGTTGCAATGATTTCGACATTGATGTCCATACGGTTTCTCGTACGGTTTTAAGCACGAACTGCAGAATCGTGATCGGCAAAAGAAACCTGTCAGCGACGTGATGGGGTGAAAGTGTTCGGTCTCCTCCGAGTCGTCGTGAAGTAAGAATATCTTCTTTCGTTCCTCGTCGTGGTTGGGACTGATGTAAGAAAAGGCGTTTCCCATCTTAACATTGATGACGTAGATGTTCACACCGAGGAATTCTTCTAAACGAGGAATGTACATGTAAGTCAGCGGGGCGTCGTCGACTATGTTCATCGTTGTACACACTCGTTTCGTCAGCGTGTCTTGCGCTCCTTTATGGTTTTTACACAAATCTTGGTAATACCAGAGCGGACACTGCTGAAAGAAAAGGAGAATTTCACCGGCCGTGGGAGTCGGATGACGAGCCTTGACTTTTCCAAACTCGGCGTCGTGGGTTTTACAACTGTTGGCTAAACAGACGAGAGCCGCTCGAACGAGACACTTGTTATCGGTATTACGTATCTTTACGATAGATGTCTTATCTGCGATGGCTTTGGCGACGGAAGACATCTTAACTCCCGTACCACCGCGGGGATATTTGATGGCCCCGATGTCGATTCGACAGGAGGAATCGAAAGGTAAGTCTTGATGACTGTTGAGGACGATCATCAGACTTTCCAACATGGCGTCCGCATCCATCTCCTCCATTGGGCGACAGGGGACAAACACCGGTAGGTCTAGATGGTCGTTGTAAATGACACCCCTCATGAGGTCCCCCGGCCGGAGATCTTTTTTCACGTGTTGAAGCATTTTGTCGAAGGCATCTTTGAGCAAACCCTTGACTTGGATCATCTTCTTTTTTTCCTGTAAGAGGCCGTCCTTAAAGTTCAATTCGTAATTGACGTCCATAGCTCCGGTTTTTTTCAGTTTCTTTTCTTTGACGATTCTGATGTCGAAATCGTCACGACCGGTACCCACTTGATTTGCAAAAAAGTCGAAGGGTTCATCTTGCAGTAGCAGAGAATCTCCTTCGTGGAAAGTGGCATCGGTAATCTCTGAGAAATCGATAGGAACAAACCCCGGGTCCCCGTCCACAAGCAGAGAATTTTCTGTGTGAAATGTACATTCGAGGATGTTTCCAAAGTCCTCATCAGGTGAGCTGAACAGTTGGTCGATATCCATTTGTTCGTCTGAGGAGGTTTGTTGGACGCTGGACCAATCCATGTCCTGGATATCTCGAAACAACTCATATTCCCGAACCACTGGACTACAACATATTTTATTTGAAATCAAAAAATTGTCGATCAAGTTGGCTTTTTTTTTTTATTGAAATAAACTAAAACTCTATTCATCGACATCTGTTTTTACAACTAAGGCATTGTGGATAACGTAATGCACTTTATTTTTTTTTCATTTTTTTTTATTTATTTATTTTCTTTTTTTCTTTTTATTATTTTTTTTAAATAAATGCAAGAACTAACACAACACCATACTATCGAATTTGAATTAAATTACTGGATTTTTTGTCATACTTTTACACACCAAATCATTTTTTAACATTTTTTTTTTTTTTTCAAAATTATAAATAAAAATCCATTTGTAAGAACTATTGCATTGTGGATTTGAAATAAAAAAATATGCAATGAAGTTGACTTTTTTTATTATTATTATTATTATTATTGAAATAAACTAAAACTCTATTTATCGACATCTGTTTTACAACTAAGACATTACGGATAACGTCGTGCATTTTACTACAATTTTTTAATAAATAAATGTAAGAACTAACACAACACCATATTATCGAATTTGAATTTTTAAAAAAAATGGATTTTTGTCATAGTATTACACACCCAATCATTTCTTTAGCATATTTTCTCCGAAATTATAAATATAAAATCCATTTTGTACAAAACTATTGCATTGTGGATAAAAGTAATACACTATATACTACAAATGTTAGTTAAAAATGAATTTAAGAACTAATACCACTTCCTACTATCAAATTTTAAATTAAATTACTAAATTTTCATCATGCTTTACATAACAAAACACTTCCTTAAAATAATTTTTTCAAATTTACAAATCAAAATGTATTTAAATCAAAAACGACACGTCATATCATGTAACATTTTAACCAAAACGGCCCACCATAGTGTCAAATTTTTGTCATATTAAATTTTGTTTGAAACGACACACCATATTATCGACATTGTATACACTATTTTGGCTTTTTACATAAAGGCAATAAACCGTGTTATCAAGTTTTTATAAAAAAACGAATTTTAAAACGAAATGGCATGCCATACTATCATTGTATAATAGTAATGAATTTTACACCAAACTGTGAACCGTACACCATGCGTTTTGTAAACACCGTTTCTTATTTTAAAAACATTTATTCCTTCGATCTCTGATGAAGACTAAATTATGAAATCTGGTAATGGTGATGTTAAGTGACTTCAGTAAGGTTGTCCTCTTTCATTGTAAAGCGTAATATATATGCAAATCACCCCGTGTCGAATTTTTACACAAGGCGAATCCAAAATTGATTCACGCACACACACACACACACACACAAAAATACAGCACATTAAATATAGGACTTATGTTTGTGAATTCCGTTTTATAGGACAAAATCGTATTTGTTATTTTTAGCAATATTCAGTATTTGTTACCGATAACATTGATCTAGGCTAAACATCATTATTCTGGACTTATCAACTATAACTCGTGAACGTAAAAAAGTAACAGTGACTTTATTTAAGTTACCTCCCTTACCCTTATACGCATATACTGTAGAGTTATAAACAAAAAAAATATCTTACAATTCAATGTAAATCGATTTAACCCCCCCCCCCCTTTAAATAAAAATATCATTACCTTATTGAGTGTGTATTTCCACTGCTTGATTTTTGTTCGTGGTTTTTTTCATGTTCTGACATACTGACATAGTCGTTAAACATTAAGTGACAAAATCCACACTGAAACATTTCGATTTTCGAGGAATCTCCAATAAATCACGTCCGTTTTCTTTGGAAGTTTCACTATATACTATATATTAGATACGTCTGTTTGTCCTTTTTCAACATTCAGGTACACCTTCATTGGCTGTTTCCATGTCAACGTAAAAAAAAACATTCTTTCAGTAGAAAAACTCTTTTGTGAAGACTGGGTTTTCCCCATTTTACCAAATGCATTATATGAAATGCGTGCTCAAAAAAAAAAAAAAAAAAAAAAAAAAAAAAGGTTTGCTTAAAATCTTCATAACGTTGATCACCTTTTTTTTTTCTTTTTTTTTTTACATTTACTCATGATTTTTTTTTTAATCTTACTCAGTCATTCTTACCCTGATTATATTTTATTTTACAATACACATCATTATTCGAGTCTTTTCTTTCCATTTCTTAGGAATAAATATGACCTATATTTTCTGTCAATGATTTTTCAGTTTTGTTGAGTAAACCACCTTCTTCAATATATTATTCCCCTCCATTCTTTTTATCACTTTGTACGTCTGAGTTTACACAGTATTTCGGGTACTTGTTACTACCACAGAATGTAAATCATATTTCATTTCAAAGCCGCTTTCACAAAGATTCTTATTTTTTTTTCCCTTGTGATATTCCTGTACTTTAAATCCTTTTTACCCATCTGTATTTTTTGTCTCGTTTAAAGCCCATTATCATCGTTAAATGCACTGAAGGTTTTCAGTTATATAATGTACTTTATTTCTCGTAGTTCATTTTCCCCCAAAAC